CGTATGTAACTTTGCATACAATCAATCTTTTTTCGTAGAATTGTTTTTAAATGAAGATCGTAATAAGATCTATTTTAAAAAGCGAAAAACAATTTCTTTAAAAAATGGTCAATTTTGGGGTATACAGATACTTAAGACAGATTCCGCTGAAAGTTAGAGCAATAAGTGCAAAAATTATTTACTAAAAATCTACTCATAGCAAGGTAACGTTTGGAATAATGTCTAAAACAACTCACTTTTAATAGTTCATTTCTCTAAGTGACCCCGCGATTAAATACTCAAGCATTCTCGAGATAGTTAATGTCAAACCTCCTAAGAATGTTTAAAGCGTGTGCTGTTGTGTTTTTACCTACAGTGAAACGTCTGTTTTAAGTGAAATATTGATAACTTCAAGTTCAATTTTCTCTCGCGGGGTCAGCTTGACATCTCAAGTCTCGATACGTTTTTCTTAACTGTATTCAAAACAATACCATTCCATGAGGTTTTTTGGTAACTTAATTTTTGACATCATTGCTCGAATGTTCTGCTGAAATCATCTTAATGTAAGTACCACCATGTTAAACTGACTAAATTTGTATCATTACTTCATTAGTGGCTAATCTTGAAAATTGATGACTCTAAATTCCAGATAAATGAGAGATCAAAAAACAGGTCAAAAAACAAGATCGATATGACGAATCCGTTACCTGGCAATACAGGCAACGGAAAATTTTTAAGAGTGATGGATACGAATATTGATGACCCATTGGTCAGGAATTTGTTATTGACACTTGGAAACCATGGTAAGTAGCTAAGAAGTGGAGGTGTGCATTAAGTAACAAAAAAGAGCATGAAAAGTAATTACACTGAATAAAAAACAAATTGTTTTGCTGCTATACTTACAGAACTTGAAGATGGATTAAGTTGGAGAATGCTCCAGTAGAAATAGTTGAGATTTCGTTGTTGCTTACATTCCTAAAAATGTATACTTGAAGTTAGAAGTTTTACAAAATATAAATAAATAAATTTCACGTATAAGAGGACAATGCCTTAGTTAGGAATCTTTTGCATGTATACCGGCACTTTAAAATGCAATTTGTACTGTTGTTGATGACAATGATGATGATGAGGATGTTGTTGTTGATGATGATGATGATGATAATGATGATGACGACAATGACATCTAAGATGAATAATGATAAAGATGATGATAAAGCATTAATCAGCAATGCCATAGTTTATGAATATCACTGTTCACTCAGGTTTAGGAAATAAACCCTTGAGTTATTCAAATTGATTCTCAGTCTACTCTGTAGTTGCTTTATACAGCTGCACCTGTACTTAGTAAACCTCTGAACAAGAAAAAATAAAACTCACAAGTGAACAAGCTGCGAGTCTTTTCCAAAGAAAGGTCGCATGTTAGGAACAGTGAGGCTGACAATCTCATTCTGATCCACAGACCTACCAACCACAAGCAAGAAAACTTTTTATGAGTTATCATTACTTGTTATCTCGTTAGATTGTTTCTTACAACAACAGCTAGAAATGGTCAAGTTCCACCAAAGACTTTTTTATATCACTAGTTTTTTCTAATTGTGGTCTCAGGTTTTTTTAAGAGTTTTACTCTTCAAAGCCAACTGCTTTTTGAAGGAGTTTAAAAGTGCAAGGACTCTAGAGATGGTCTGTGGGTTATTAGGTGGAGTTGAAGGTGATGTAGCTTCGTCATCTCTAGATGCTGTAGAGATAACGTAGATACATGTATTTAACACATATGAATCATTGGCACAACATTCACCTATGGCAAGCTAAAAGCTTAATTGTCATCTTTTAGAACTAGCTGTATTTAATATTTTACTTTCAATTGGCTAGTATCAGCAATTAATAGTTTACATGTATATCCTTAATCAGTACCGAAAAAATACGTTTCTGTTGCAATAACTGATACAAGACATTAAGAGCTACTTAACACTAATCAGAGCAATTGCTAACTTATGGCATTTAGTATAAAAAGAACTATTACATAACTGTCCTCACAGATATCGTAGTGACTGGCAATTTTTGAAAGATCCTCCAGGGAACTTCTTTAATTTGTTCCTGCTAAGGGCTCTGTAACAAAGTAACACAACAACAAAGTACAAAACAATGGACCTCTTTAACGATGTCAGGCTTTTCCAATTTTTCCATTCAAACAAAAAATATACCGCATCACTCAATTTATCGAAATATTTCATTAGAACCCATTGCAAAATCAAAAATATATGAGAATGGGAACCCTAACTTGCCATTTTTTACAAAGAGATGTATGCCAGTGGGACAATGCATGCCCTCTGGAATACATTTGCATGTAAGTTTGGGGTCCCACAGTTTTATGAGTTTGCAATGGATTCTTTTAAAACTTTGTAGATTTTCTAAATTCCGCGTGATAAATAATTCAAACTATGGAGGTGGTTTTTTTGTTTCTTTGAAAAATGCGAAAAATTGTTGCTATTTCGCGACATTGTTAAAAAGGTCCATTTATGTGACATTTTGAATACACGCTAAGCATCTTTAACAGAAATCTTCAGGTTTCAAAAATCAGATTTGTACTTAATGCTAGCCCAAATTTTACTATTTTCAGCTTGAGTGCCATGCATGTGTACTCCAGGACATGCCCAGTATGGGGTAAAATTGTATGTTCTGTTGATCAAATTGATTAAACATAGTTGTTTAAAAGTGCTCCAAACCGCAAATATGGGGCATATTTTCAAAGTTGACTTAACCCATGGGACGACTTGTCCTGCTTTCATCCATCAATTTGCCAATGAAATGTTTCACTTTCAGACAGTACTGCTGAATTCAGTTACGTTCAATTCATTTTTCAATGGATGAAAGTAATGTTATGTTAAATGACTCCACTGTATTCTGAAATAGCATGACAGCTGGAGCCAGATTCACGAACCCCTCCTAGGTAAGGATGTACCCTTGTAAGTATTTGATTGTTTAAATACAAAAGTTGGTAAAGATGCATTGGTCTTACTAAAGGAGAGCTGCATGAATCTAGCCTTGAGTTCATCTTGAATTATTCATACTTACATGTATTCTAGGTTGGGTAAATCAAACCATTCATTTGGAATCCAGTCAATCTCATTCTCAATCAGAATACTGCAGATAATAAAATTATTTATTATATAAACACCAGCGAAATACCAGCAAAGCTTTCGCGCGTAAACGTGATATCTTCTCACGTGAAAATAAAATGTTATTTCACACGTGAAAATAACATGTTATTTTCAAAGTGAAAAGATCGCCATTGCTATGGTTACATAATCCCTCAAAAAGTACTTAGATGTGTTGCTGTATTATCGAAAAATCATCGGTTCTTCCTTGGAAATCTTCGATTATCTTCGGAAATCTTCGGTAATCTTTAGTAATCTTCCGAAATTTTTGGAAAATCTTCGGAAGTCTTCGGAAAGTGCTCGAAAATCTCCGGAAAATCGTCAAAAAAATCGTCATTAGTATGTTTCTATAATAATTTATGGCTGCTTGTAGATATGGAAATTCTCTTCTCGTATTCAACTTTATATCTCATGGGTGAGCGCAGCTCACTCATGAGATATCAAGTTGGACACTCCAAGAAAAATACCATATCTACGCGCACCCTTTTATTATCCTCTATTTAACTTTAAGTTTATTTTCAGCTGTTTCATGGTACTGAGTTGGCACACATGTAAGGTGCAATGTAATTCAGTACTGTCTTTAAGTTAATTTGAGTGGCTGTAGTATTTTGGAGTCCTGTGACTTAGGACCATTGTCTAAGTGGTTTCATTTGAAGGGATCGTTTCACGGTTTGGTGCATGTGCAAGCTGCATCTATTAACAACACATTTATGTACTAAATAAGTAGGATAATTCGCTGTTCATTCAATAGCATACTTTTTAAAGATGAATTACTGATAAACTAGCAGTTAATTTTTCAGCTAATTTCTAGGAAGGTCAAATACATGTACATACATGTATGTGGAACCCAAGAAAACTTACAGCTTCTGAAATTTACTTCAAAATTCTTTTTAACCAGCCCTCAGATACCTAATACTTTAGTATCAATTCAAGGAAATTGATATAATTATGAAAATTAATTAAGTCAGCAGTATACTTAACAACAAAGGAATCAACAATTAAAAGAAATTTGACTCACATTCTAACCAAAGCCTTCGGCAAGTTGGTGAAGTTGTGGAGAAACAGTTGGATTTTATTTGCATACAAGTCACTGAATGGGAGATACATAATAGGTCCATGTGTAAACATAGCTTTACTAAGTATACATGTAACAAAAATTTGGCCGTGCTTTAAACATGAAATAGCAAAATGACAAAATTGCACTCATTTTAGGATACGGGGGGTCTATAACGGTTAACCTTAGCCTTACAATTATTGAAAGCTAACTACTGTGAACTCAGTGATATTTAGGCTAACCTGAGTGCTATAATAGGCTCACCCTGGTGCCATTTCATCATTTCGCCATTTCGTGTTAAATATCTCCCCAGATTTTTCCTTCTATGGTTGACAAATTTGCATTTTCTAAACTGATCAGTAACTGACAATTTTTCCGTTCAGTTTATTTTAATTTACTAACTAGCATATTAAACTGGAAGAATTCCATCCATACTCCCAAATCATATTACTACTTTACTAAGACAGCTTAACTGTTCCATAAGTATTAATTAATTGCCTCAGTATCCCAAATTTTGGAACACAGACAGCTAGGCAGACCATTCATTAATTAGTCTCAACAACTTTCGTCTTCTGACACCTTGTACTTGCACAAGAAAACAGTTTATTGTTAAGCTGAATTTACTTCCCTTCATTGGTTGGCAGACAATATAAGTTGAAAGGTTTGAATTCACGAACGCACCCTGAAATGTACTGGTGATACCCTCCAACTTTGGTTCACGCGCGATTGACATAATTATTGGCAGAGTTTCAAAAGAGCTACAGACTACATTGCTGAACTATTGGGAAATACAAATTTAAACTAATTTTCCCCTATATTCTTGGAAACCTAAAAAGCTTTTCTTTCTGATCTTTTTTGCAAAAAGGGAATCACAAAATTTCCTTAACATTGATTACAAACTAGAACATTTGCATTTTTGGGCAAAATAAGGAATACTGATGCTTCAAGGGAAATAAAAATAAAAAAGGGGGTGGTGATAAGGCTGGGTCACCATGTACACTTACACGAGAATAATACTAGACATTACAAAACGATGAAGTTACTTACAGCTCTTTAAGTGCAACATTCTTTGAAATATCTGGAAAGTCAGTCAGTGCATTTTTGGCCAAATTTCTGTGGAGCGAATATTAAAATTTATACGTGGGAGTGACACAATGCATAGTTCTCATCCACAGACACGTTTGTCAATCCTGTTTAGACTTGATATTTGAACTTTTTGGTGGAGTTTTCTCAAGAGGACACAGCTACATATACAGAAGATGCTTTGATTAACTGCAACAAACACTTTGCCTTGCTTTATTATCATAATTATTAATAATCATTTTACTCTTAGTATGCC